TTTCTCAAGTTGTGACTGATTTGAACTAACAGTTTGCTTTAAAAGATATGGGGGCTGTAAATTATTTTCTTGGCTTTGAGGTTCATAGGAATGATTCAAGTTTGTTGCTAACACAATCTAAATATGCTCAAGAACTTCTTCACAAAGCTGGAATGTTTGATTCTAAACCTTGTCTTACACCCATGTCAACTGGTGTTAAACTTAGCAAAGAGGGTAGTGCCATCTTTGATCAGCCATCTCTCTACATGATATTATTGGGGGCTTACAATACCTTACATTATCCAGGCCTGATTTAGCATTTGCAGTTAATAAGTTGAGTCAGTTTTTGCAACTCCCAATGCTGTCTCACTGGACTGCTTGTAAAAGAATGCTGAGATATATTAAAGGCACTCTTCAACATGGGCTATATTTCAAGAAACACCAGCATTTGGTGCTTAAAGGGTACACAGATGCTGACTGGGCCAGTGATACTAGTGACCGGAAGTCTACTACAGGTTATTGCATCTATCTTAGAGGAAATCTGGTACAATGGTGTTCAAGAAAATAGAGGTTTGTAGCATTGTCATCCACAGAAGCAGAGTATCGAGTACTAAGTCAAGCAGCTACTGAACTGGTCTGGATTCAAAACCTATTTCAAGAGCTTGGTATTAAGGTTAATGTAACACCTGTCCTTTGGTGTGACAACATGAGTGCCGGGGCTTTGTTATCTCATCCGGTCTTTCATGCAAGGATCAAACACATTGAAATTGATGTGCATTATGTGAGAGAACTTGTAGCAGAAAAAAGACTTAGTGTTCAGTATGTTGCATCAGAATATTAGATTGCTGATATTCTAACAAAACCTCTTCCAAGTCACAGACATTAGCTTCTGTGTGACAGATTGAATGTGTCCAGCCTGGTTGCCTCTTCAGAGTTACTAAAGGATAAACAAGCTGTTTTATCTTATGAGTACAAGAAAGATGACTATGCTGAGAAGGAAGATGTTAATGCTACTGTTGAAAACCCATGTTGAAGAGTGCTTTTAATATATCTCAGCATTCTTTTGCAGGCAGTCCAGTGAGACAGCGTTGGGTGTTTCAACACTCTCACCCATCCTCGCAAGTGAATTCATCACAACCTCAATAGCCTGTGTCTATACCTATGTCTACTTAGCGTCTACCTGTTGCTACTCCTTAAACAGTGACAGATCAGACTTGGTATGTTGATTCTAGAACTACGAATCATATGACAGCTGACAATAGTAATCTGCTGGTTAAAAGTGATTATAAAGGTGATTCTCAGGTGCAAGTTGGAAATGGGCAGGTTGTTCCCATCACTCACATAGGTATGTCTTATGTTCCATCTCACTCTACTAAGAGACTTTTAGAATTAAAGAATATGCTTTGTGTTCCTCATATTAAAAAGAATTTACTTAGTATTTCTCAAATAACTAAGGACAATGATGTTATTGTCGAATTTCACTCCAATTGTTGTTTAATAAAGGATAAAACCACCAAGGAAGTCTTGCTTCAAGAAGGTTTGTGAGATGGACTTTATCAACTGCAAATTTCACCTAGTCTGTAGCGGTTTTCTACCTTCAACAATAACTCAGATTCTGGTCTCAGATTTATATCAAGTGACATTAGTCCAAATTTAGGTCAAGATGTTAATGTTGCTTTAGCTACTACAATCTCAGCAAAATTCGTGTCATTAGAGGAACTGAAGGACCGAAACAAGGTTTCTTGATTGATGACACTATCATTATTGAAGTTGAAATTGCATTGCTTGGAGTAGTTACAAATGGTAGTCTTAATTCTGTGTTATAAGCATCTTCTATATCTCTTTGGAACAACTTATGTAATTAGGTTTTTATCTTATTTTATACCTTCATAGTCCTACCAAAAGGAGATTCCTTTTATCTGGTTATATTTCTTGAGATTTTATCAGATTTAGAGAGTAGAAGAATTTCTTTTTGTTGCGTATTAGATTTAATTACCTATCAAAAAGATAACAAGATCTAATCATGAAACATCTATTAGAGATTTTACTTAGCCAATCTGAATCAAAATACCTATGAATAACTAATTAGAATACCCTCAAGAACAAATCTATCTCATGGTTTAAAATGTTAAGCCATAGTGAATTGTGCCTTTAACATACCCCAATACATGTTTTATAGGCTCGCCAATGCATTACTGTTGGTGCTTGTAGAAATTGATTGAGCTTGTTTAATGGGTAAGACAAGTTTGGTGTAATCATTATCACTTACTAAGGTACTCCTATGGTGCGTGTGTAGAAGGGTGGTCAAACAAATCAATTTGTTAATTAGAGAATAAAAAAGTTATCTTCAATAAATACAATTAAATGGAGTACGGAAATTATTAATTTTGTTGCCATAATTCAATAAATTAAATAAAATTACTAATAAAGGAGATCTTATTAACGACGCCTTGATGGAAGACAAACGCAATAACCTTAGTTGTCTTACACTTGAGTTGATATTGGGAATAATTTTTGTTATTAAGTAGCATATAATCGGAGTTTTTACAATTAAATGGAAGTTATATTTGTATATATGCTTTATTCAAGTTCAAAATTCACAAAGAAATCTAATCTTAGCGGATGGAAAAAAAATAAAAAATAAAATCTACAACATTTATCCCTTTAAAATTTGGAGAAAAATCTTTGCTACAAAAGAGATATATACAATCACCAACAATATGATAGGTTATCACAGGAGATTATATATCTTTATAAATGGGGAGTGGAGAAAAAATATGATATGTTATATCTCCGTGAATTTGGAACTAATAGAGACAAATTCTCTTCTAGTTGGATTAGAAGTCGATGTGATTTTCAATTTTTTCTTATTCAATAAACTAAAAGAGAAATATTTTAGTCTTCAAGGTCATATAGTTATAACTATTTATTATTAAAGCCTTGAGAGAGCAATGTTAGCAATCCTCAATTTTCATTGATGCAGAAGGTAGTGTATAGAAATTCCATGAGATGAAGACCGAATGAGGTGTCAAAAACTCCATTGACTTGAATACATTTTCAGATTCCATTAATGGACACCTTATTGATGATAGTTGCACTTCTGGCGTACATTTCTCTACCTTGTTATGTTTGTAGGAATTCATATAAGCTATATAATTCTTAATTACATACATTTTTTTGCTTATTAAGAATTATATAGCTAGAGGTCTTTATTTTAACTGGAAGTTATAATTCTATACTCTTTTGGATAACTCACAGAGAGTTCAAATCCTGGAATAAATCTTACTGGAGTTATTCTATTTAAAATGGGAAGTTAAAACTCAGAAAGAGATGAAATCCTTCCAGATTTTTCTTGAAAATTAAGAATATATCCAAAGGCATAAATATATCCTTCTAAAATTAAGATAATCATCGTTCTTTTACTCAGTATTCTTTTATTTAAATTCTTAACCTTCCCATCCTCAAATCCACAAAATAATAAAAAAAATAAAAAAAATAAAACCTTTAACTGCTACCTTTTCCACAAACATGTCTCATGAAAATTATTAAAATGGACCTTATTTTAAGGGAATTTTCAATTTATTTTTTATCTTAATTCAAAAAATTGAATAAAGTTACTCATTAGGTAGATGTCATTAACTAGACCTCAATTGGAGGCCTTATATAACCGGAGTTCTTATGTTTAAATGGAAGTTATGTTTGTTTTTAAATCCTTTATATAAGTTCAAGCTTCACAAAGAATTTGAATCCTACCCAACTAGTATTCTTGGAAAAGAATATCCTCTAATTAAATTCGAAAAACAAAATCCCCTATAAAAGATATACACAAGACAAGATCATCCAACTGGCTTTCGGTTTATAATTGATTATACATACATTGGAAAAGAATATCCTCTAATTAAATTCGAAAAACAAAATCCCCTATAAAAGATATACACAAGACAAGATCATCCAACTGGCTTTCGGTTTATAATTGATTATACATACATTGGAAAAGAATATCCTCTAATTAAATTCGAAAAAAAAATCCCCTATAAAAGATATACACAAGACAAAATCATACAACTGGCATTCGGTTTATAATTGATTAGTTGTGTGTATATATATATATTAAGTTCTCCTAAAGTTTAGATACAAAGTGACTTATATTTCGACTTGTGACACATACAAGTCTTCAGATTTCGGTTCTTTTCGTCTCTGTTATTTAAACCTCAAATCTTCTTACTTCAGCATGGGCAACAATGGTTCCAAAGGCTGCTTCAACATGGGCAACCGAGATTCCAAAGGCTTAATAGGTATATCTGAAATTCAATTTTCGAATATTAGTCTCCATCGAGAGTTATGATTATGCATGGAGGTAAAAATTTTCATGTATGAAATTTGTTGTTTCAATATAAAATTTTAACCCTTTTTTACAACTAATTAAACCAAATGGTTTTGTTATTAAAATAATTTTGAGCCATTGAGTAAGCTTATATCTCTTATTTTATTTTCTTTCAGGAAGGCATGCTTCACCAAGTCACTACTTATTCAAAATGGATTCCTTCTCTTTCCTATCTAAAGCTTTAGCAGATGACTTTATCTCGGACACTTTTGTTGCAGGGGGCTACAGATGGTGTGCACTTTACTCAACTTTGTCCTTTATAAATTATACTTAAGCACAAGTAAGATGATGATAAATTTGAATAATATTCTTCACTAAACGAAAATTTAACTCCTATCACAGGCAATTGATTATCTATCTACGTGGGGACTGGATCAAAGCTAAAACAAATTATATCTCGGTACAATTGGAATTGCTAAACACGAGTTCTCTTCAAATTGGATGGAAAGTCAACGTGATTTTCAATTTTTTCTTATTTAATCAGCTAAAAGAGAAATATTTTAGTCTTCAAGGTAATATAGTTACAACTTTTTTAATAGAAATTAATTGTGAGAAAATACCATATATTCATTTTTTATACGTTTATTAATAGATAATTTTAATTGATGCAGATGGGAGTGTAAAGCAATTCCACGAGATGAAGACCAAATGGGGTATCAAAAACTTCATTGACTTGAATACATTTTCAGATCCTCTTAATGGATACCTAATTGATGATTCTTGTGTTTTTGGTGCTGAGATTTTTGTTGTCGAAAAAACATTCAAAGGGGATCACTTATCCTTGATGAAGAACTATGATACTCTCTACCATACATGGAAAATTGAGAAATTTTCAACTTTACTTGAGGAATATTATGAGTCAGAATCATTTGGATTCTATAAATGGTATATATATTTCCTTTCATTTGGAGCTTGAGTAGTGTTAATCTACTTCACATACCTGTTGAAATTATTATTGAATTGCAGGAATGTTGGTCTGTACCCAAATGGATATGGAGGAGGCAAGGGCAACAGTATTTCACTAATTCTAGGTATGTCAGGATCAAGTGTTCCCCAAGATACGAAATTGTTGGCTACGTTTACTGTGGGTATCAAAGACCAATTGTATGGAAAACACATTAAACAGACAGGTGAGAGTTAGAATTTACTGTCAATTTTTTGAAATAAAATCTTTTGTATTCTACGATTGATTTTCTCTGATTTGTGATATTTATGCAAATTTTAAATGTAAATCTCTGCATTTTATAAATTGAGAATTCCATTCATTAGCACTTCACAGTTTTTTTATTGCTTAGAGATGGTAGTAAATTATTAATAATTGATGTTCTCATTTTTGAAAAATGTGGATGTCAAGACTCTATACAATAAGCCTTAGCTTTCTTGTTTTTCCTTCTTGATATAAGTGCTTGCATTATTGATATAAATTTTGTTCTTAACTACTTTCTTTTCATCTTTCCTCCAGGTCAATCCATACATAAACCCTCAAAAAAGATATGTTATAATCTCATGGCCTTAGAAAAACTGAAGAATCCAAAACATGGTTTCTTGGTTGATGACACTCTCATTATTGAAGCTGAAGTTAAATTGGTTGGAGTTGTCACAAAATGGTCGACTTAATTCTTTGTCATTAACATCATTATGCTTCTTCATCTATGACTTACATTTCTCTAACTTATTATTATTATTTTTTAATGGGATTTTTATAATTCTTATTTGGCTTTATAATTATCATAGATTCATAAGTACTTACATATTTTTGCTTATTAAGAATTATACAGCTAGAGGTCTTCTATTTTTACTGTAAGTTCTAATTCTATGTATTTTTTGTATAAGTTAACTCACTACGGACTAACATATATAATGTTTAAAGTTTAGTCCTCGCCTACTCAAATCTAAAGTAGAACTTTAATTTAATACAGATCCCCGCCCCTCAATTTGACCCAGGGAATTATTAATTTTGTTCCCTTAATTCAAGAAATTAAATAAATTTACTCTCATTTATTAATGAGATGTCATTAACCTCAATTGGCAGATGACTTATCCTTAATTTTTGTTATTATATTAGGTAGTACATAACCTGAGTTCTAATGTTTAAATAGAAGTTATATTTGTAAAAAATGTTGTACTTGTAAAGTTATAATCCCAAATTTGTATATGACAATTGAGTTGGCAAAGTAATATGGCAGTTGAAATGTTATAATCTATGTGAATTAATAATATGCCAACTCAATTGCCATATGGGTTCAGTTATATGTAGCATTACTCAATCTTTTTAACTTAAAAGAATTCAAATCCTAACGGTATCTAAAAGAACATATTTCCTTTTAAATTTGGAAAAAATATTCCTTATAACAGATATACATACATGATTTTGGACATACTTACATACGTTTAGAGGCTCTTTCGAATATCTCTGATTTCGGACAGGAATACTGTTCACCACCTACTATTCACGGCTACTGTTCACCATCTACTATTCACGTGATTTTTTGCCAATCGATCCAAAGTAGGATTGCACTCACGGAAGTCCACACGAAGATAATCCGTAGAACTCTTGATTATTTTGCTAGAACAATCAAGGGCTTCAAGAATCAAGAAAGAAGAACAAGAAAAGTTTTCTTCTTGAGAGAGAGAGAAATAGGGTGGCTAGGGTTTTAATTGAATGAATAATTCTCTAATATTTTAATTTTAAGTTGCACTTATATGGTGCAACAATTAAAACCCAATTCCACTTAGGAATATCCATGGGCTCCAACCCTAGTTCACCCTTGCAACAAAACACACCCTTTACGGTATTTTAATTAATTAATTATTCTAATAATTAAAATCAATTAATATATAATAATATATTAACATTCAATTAATAATAATAATTCATTTAAATATATACATAGATATATTTAAATATAATCTCACTAATTTAATTTTAATATTAAAATTAAATACAGGCAACAACCTCAGCAAATTTAATTGCACTGTGAGATTACCAAAATACCATTTCGTCCTAAAAGATGAAAATACCATTCTCACAAATTGATTCTTAAATTATCTTTTAAGTGTGTGACTCGTAGGCTTCTCATCATATCGGCAGTGTATAGTATAGCGATTAATACCAATTAATCGTCTCACTACACACAGAGCAAGATTGGCCCCCAGCAAGGCATCATGGTCATCCGATAGATTCAAATTCAGTGAAACCGCAACTTGTCAATGGTATGGTTACCATGCAATCAAATCCTTCCATCAACTATTATCTCATCGAGACTGAGGTACAGATATAGTGTCAACCTCAGATATCCTCGACATTTTTGTATTCAATTACTAGACCAATGACAAGAATATTAAATTGGATTGAGCATCAACTCAATCCCACTGTGGCCATAGATTTAGTGTCATTGTCATTTACTGAATTACCCAGTGAGATAACTTCTCCCGTACCTAGGAGTGATGAATCTTTTGTCGATCCACCATAGTCTCGATACACTTCTCAATGTAGCAAATCACCATCGTATTGATAGCTCTGAATAGAACTACATTGTGCTAGTGTCAAACTACACCAATTGGTGCACAAGGCGCTCCGGTGATCTCAAGTCTAAAGATCACATGCACCACCATTAGTTAGAGGATTTATTCCATAGACACCGGGGTTAACATCCATATGGAATCCTCTGGTGGGTCTGTCCAGTGAACTAACCTCTAGCAAGCACCTATGCGTTGCACCAGGTTGTCGGCAAACAACCTTGACAAATGAGATCAGTCACTGCCTTTCGACAAGGTCGTTCAATAATATGATAGTCTTACCATATTATCTGTGTCCTTAGTCAGAATAATACTAGGGCTACGGACGTTTGATCATAGGGTTCTCACTATCAAGATTTGAAACACTTGATACCCTCGTCATGGTTCTACCATCTTAAGGACATATATTATTGTTAGAGCAGATGCCTTAGAGCCAATCAATTATTGTAGAATTGACTCTTTGTAATAATGTTCATTAATCAATAAAAAAGCATTTTATTCTATATTGCGTAAATCATTATTATTACAATATATATTGACATATGTCCTTAGAATGGCAGAACCGTGATGAGGGTATCAAGTGTTTCAAATCTTGATAGTGAGAACCCTATGAGCACATATGGTGGCCATTCTAGAAACGTTCGTAGCCCCAGTATTATTCTGAAGTAAGGGCACAGATAATACAGTAAGGCTATCATAGTGTTGAACGACCTTGTCGAAAGACAATGACTGATCTCACTTGTCAAGGTTGTTTGGTGACAACCTGCTGCAACACATGTGTGCTTGCTGTAGGCGAGTTCACCGTAGCAAGTTCATTGGACTGACCCACTAGAGGATTCCATATGGATGGTAACTCTAGTGTCTATGGAACAAATCCTCTAATGAATGGTGGTGCATGTGATTCTTAGACTTGAGATCACCGGAGTGCCTTGTGCACCGATTTGTGTAGTTTGACATTAGCCTAACACAGTTCTTTTCAGAGTTATCAATATGGTGGTGATTGGCTGCATCAAGGAGTGTATCAAGACTATGGTGGATAGACAGAGGATTCATCACTCCCGGGTATGGGAGAAAGTTATCTCACGGCGCAATTCAGTATATGGCAATGACACTAAAACTGTGGCCACAGTGGGATTGAGTTGTTGCTCTATCCAGTTTATAATACGGGTCATTGGTCCAGAAACTGAATAAATAATATCGAGAGTAACCGAAGGTTGACACTATTTCTATGCCTTCGTCTCGTCGAGATAACGAATGATGAAAGGATCAAATTGTACGGTAACCATATCGTTGACAGGTAGCTACTTTGCTGAATCCGAATCTATCGGGTGGCCATGATGCCTTGCTAGGGGCCAATCTTGGTCTGTGTTTAGTGAGACGATTAATTGGTGTTAATCGCGATACTATACATTGTCGGTATGATGAGCATATGGGTCACACACATAGAAGATAATTTAAGAGCCAGGAAGTAAGAATGGCGTTTTCGTCTTTTTAGGCAAAATGTAAGAATGGCATTTTCGTCTTTTTAGGCAAAATGGTATTTTTGTAATTTTACAATGCAATTAAATTTGCTGAGGTCATAGGCTTTATTTAATTTATTAGAAAAATTAAATAAGTAAGATTACGTTTAAATATGTGTTCGCATATATTTAAATAAGTTATCATTATTGTTAAATGTTAATATATATTAAATATATATTAATTGATTTTAATTGAGATAATGGTGAACTAAAATAAATATCTAAATGGAAGTGTTTTGGAACAAGGGGTGTTTGGGTTGGAGCCCAAGCTTATTCCATATGGGAATAGGGCAATTAAACATGACTATAAAAGAATAAGTTTAATTGAAAAAGTGGAGAGATTTTTCATTCATTCTTTTCATTGAAAAAGAGAAAAAGCCATAGCCCTTTTTGCTCTCTCTCATGCCAGGTTTTTGCTTTTGCAAAGAATCAAAGTTTTTCTTTGATTTTTCTTCTTTGTTCTTAAGGCTAAAACAGAGGCTGAAAACATAGAATTTGTGAAACATGATGCTTTATGTATTGTAATAAATGTCCTGAAATGATAGCCCTGAGTTCCCTCTTGTATACAAATATAAACCAGATGTTTTGACGCCATCTCACTACCATATTTGTTAACATTCCTTAACTCTTATTAACATAAAGTACATAATTACTTAGATTACATATACTATCTTCTGCTTTGTCGTAGTGTAGTATTCTATATTAGTTGGTTCTGCTATGCCCTATGCATTCCAGTTTTCTTGTAGATTGTAGGTTGTAAGTAGTATTAATCTTTTCACCTATCATGTTTGCCCAATATGTGCTACATAGTAATGTAAATATTTAGAGCTCCCTTCCTAACTCACGCGCTCAAGCAATTCCAGCAATATAACATAAAACAATTTCAAGAGAGCAATGTAACAAAACAGTTTCAAGGGAAGGAAATATATATATATGTGTGTGTGTGTGTGTGTGTGTGTGTGTGTGTGTGTGTGTGTGTTTACTACACTTTTGGAATTGCAAAACGACCTAGATAACTCCTACATGGCTAAACAATATGAAAGACTCAAACAAATTCAATACAGACTAAAAAAAAAAAACTATAAACATTGCTGAGCTTTGAGGGCTAGCCTCTTCCCAACTTTTGTTGTCCTCACGTTTTCCAATCTGCCCTATATCCTGACATTCTTTCCATTTTTGTAATTCCTTCAATATCCCGTAACAGAATACCGTACTCTGTCTCTCCCATATTGCCATCTGTCTTGTGCTAATTGCCATTTGTCCTGTACTGCTTTGCCAGCCTAGCTTGTGCTCATCTATTACTCCCTTTTCCTTGCCTATTGTATACTAGCACCTCATTTGATCTATCATCACCCTCCCCAAGAAGAGCCACCTTGTCCTCAAGGTGGAAAGAAGGGAATTGGTTATTGATGGTGTCGAAGTCCTCCCAAGTGCGTTCAAATGCCGGTAGTCCCTTCCATTGAATGAGGACTTCCCATTGTCCATTCAGCAGTCTTTTTTTCTGGAGAACTATTTCTGGTTCCCCATTCAAAACTATGTTTTTGTCGAGGTTGTCCGAAAGTGGTTGGCTATTGGGGA